TACATACATTATGGAATGTGTTAATGTTAACTTTCTATATATCACAAAACATTAATTCACAACTTAAAATTTCTAGTAAACTTGATCTTCCGTGTCATCACAGATCCATTATCCAGTCATGATGTGTTGTTATATTCATGGAAAATAACAATCAAATTAAGTGATAAACCTATGAGGATCTTGTCATGAAAGGCTAAACTCTTAAGGGCAATAGAGTGCTTGCCAGATAATTAGGTTTGATGTAGATAAAGGCAGTTTCCTGAAGCTAGGAGCCTTTACAAGCATCAAGGCAGCACAGTACTCCTTGATAGTCCATGATGAACCCAAGCATTTAAAGTTTTTAATTGGGGGGGGGGGGTTACTACGACTCAAAAAATCATATCGTTCGTGATTATATCATATCATCATGATTATAAAGAACTCCCTGAACAGAGGGTTCAAACCCATGGCATGAAAATGTCAAACTAGGAGGACATGGTACAGTGTATAGTACACTGGCCTGCTAGTTTTACCACTGACTTACCATTGCTCCCAACCAGCTGATCAGTAAGTGTTAGTTGTGAATGCTAGTAACCACTATCATTTTGATTCTTCTTGACCATCATGTATCACGGGTATCATATCGGTGGTATTATGTACCGACAAGCAAGTTAAGACAGAATATGTAGTTTATGGAGTCATACGAGACAACATTCTGTCCACCAGGGGATTTATCAATTTTCAATCCATGAGAAGAAATAAAATCCCTGATATATAAGAAGTATTCTCAATAAAATACCATAAATTATATGTTGTCTTCTTAATATACAGTTAGGTCTTGAATAATGTGAATTTCAATTTAGTGCAAAATTAATTAATGCTAATTTTACCAAAAAATTTTCCAAATCATAATCAAAACTTAGATACACAGGTGCTCCTTGAATTATGATATTTTAACTTCACAATGATGCAAAAACAATGACTTTGAAGAAGAAACTTAAGATAATTACCCAACGTGAAGGCAACAAGTCCATAACTTTATTCATTTATTTAGCTTTCAATACTGGTTTAGTTACAGTAATTATGTGTTTATTTACTTATTCAGTGGCAATAGTTATTTATTTACAGTGGTCCCTCAATTATCGTCCTTAATCCGTTCCTGGAAGTGGGACTATTATCGAAATAGACGATTTTCGAATCAATTTTCCCCCATAAGAAATAATGTAAATCCAATTAATTTGTTCCAGACACCCAGAAGTATCAACAACAATTTTGTTTTTTACCTAAAAGATAGATTTACATGCACAAAAGAATGAACATTCAACATGACAGTTACCTTTATTGAAGGCTGTTGTTGATGAATGGAAGACGGGAGGAGGAGAGAGGGAAGAGAGGTTATTGTTTGGAAGGGGAATCCCCCCTCCATAAGGACTCTAGGTCACTTCAGGGGTCACTTCCCTAGCATAAATATAGATTTACATGCAGCAGCGAGGAGACGGTTGGAGGCAGTGGAGATATCCTGTCTAAGGGCAATGTGTGGTGTAAATATTATGCAGAAAATTCGGAGTGTGGAAATTAGGAAAAGGTGTGGAGTTAATAAAAGAATTAGTCAGAGGGCAGAAGAGGGGTTGTTGAGGTGGTTTGGTCATTTAGAGAGAATGGATCAAAGTAGAATGACATGGAAAGCATATAAATCTATAGGGGAAGGAAGGCGGGGTAGGGGTCGTCCTCGAAAGGGTTGGAGAGAGGGGGTAAAGGAGGTTTTGTGGGCGTGGGGCTTGGACTTCCAGCAAGTGTGTGTGAGCGTGTTAGATAGGAGTGAATTGAGACGAATGGTACTTGGGACCTGACGATCTGTTGGAGTGTGAGCAGGGTAATACTTAGTGAAGGGATTCAGGGAAACCGGGTGTTTTCATATAGTCAGACTTGAGTCCTGGAAATGGGAAGTACAATGCCTGCACTTTAAAGGAGGAGTTTGGGATATTGGCAGTTTGGAGGGATATGTTGTGTATCTTTATACTTATATGCTTCTAAACTGTTGTATTCTGAGCACCTCTGCAAAAACAGTGATAATGTGTGAGTGTGGTGAAAGTGTTGAATGATGATGAAAGTATTTTCTTTTTGGGGATTTTCTTTCTTTTTTGGGTCACCCTGCCTCGGTGGGTCACGCCGCCTTGGTGGTACCCTGCCGTGAATGCCAGATATGTTGAAAACAAAAAAATGCAGAAATGCCAAATAAATGTAGTAGGGTGATCCAAGCTAAAACATTGGGTAGTTTCAAATTTAGGTTGGATAAATACATGAGTGAGAGGGGTTGGATTTGAGTCGGACTTGCACCTGAGCTTATTGCTTGGGTAGCATTTGTTCTGTTAGTCGGTTGGATTTGTGAAGGACTGGCCTAGTATGGGCCAGCAGGCTTATTGCAGTGTTCCTCCTTTCTTATGTTCTTATTGGAGACTTGTGTGTGTGAGGGAGGGATGGCAAGTTTATTGTTGAAGAATATGACACTAATATCAACTCTACTGCTTATTTATGTGTCACAATTCAACTAATATGACATAATAAACAATATTAATAACATAGAAACATGGAATATACTCTAGAATGAATAAAATAAGTCATTATGTATGTCACGAGAAGTGTTGTGTTGTGCTGTTGTTGTTGGGTATATAAGGGCCACTGAGAGTAAGCCGTCCATAATGGTGGTGAAGCAGCAGCTGAGGCGCCGGTGTTTTCTGTAGCCCTATATAACTCCAACAACATTGGAGGAGTTGGTAGAATCGCTGAATCACTAAAGAAGGAACCCTCTACCACCATCATACGACCTTCTACCACTATTACAACTGTTACCATCACTACTACCTTCTACCACCATCACTACCACCATCAACCACTATCACAACTGCTTCCACTCTACCACCACCACCTTTGTATTTTTCTACAAACTTTTTCATAAATCATATGTGTTTCTCACATTCTTTACCAAAGGGCTGGCATTAGAAGCTTTCTTTGGAGCCATGGTAGCTTATTTAGCACTTGCAAGCACTAAAATCAATGGAATATTATGAAATATTTCGTAGGAGCATGTGAGGGGACTGTCACTCACTGGTAAACAATGGCACACTGGCTGGGAAGGCAGGCCCAGGCGGCTCAGAGCATGAGTACATGTCCCGGACGAAGGACGATTAGCGAGTTAACGGACCATTTGCGAGCCAATGTTTAGACGAAATAACGGGACTATTTCCGAAATGGACGACTTTCAGGCCGGACGATTATTGAGGGACCACTGTACTTATTTATTTAGCATATCACATTCACATTGGACTTACGATGGGTTCATCACAACATAACCATCGTAAGTCGAGAGGCGCCTGTGACTAGAATGATGCAACTCCGAGGTATTCATTATTCACACCGAGACCTGTCTGTACATTTATCACTGGAAACATTTGGTCAACAATGAGTTACCAATAATACTTATATAGAAACAATTATCATTATAGTCACAGAGTCACTAAACCCACATGGGTCATACAGCACACCAAGTTACTGATAATTCTTAATACACTTTTGGGGATGTTTGGCATAAAAATCTTATGAATAAAAATTATCACATTAAAAATGCACTTTAAAGCCTGACTTTAAATAATACTGTCAGAGGAATGTGAATATAGATGTATAAGTCACTATTGTGAGGGATTGATGTAGTGTTGTTATTAATGGCTTGATCATCACTGCCAGTACTGTGGGCACTGGCAGTACTGTGGGCACTGCCAGTACTGCAGGCACTGCCAGTACTGCAGGCACTGCCAGTACTGCAGACACTGGCAGTACTGCAGGCACTGCCAGTACTGCGGACACTGCCAGTACTGCGGCACACTGCCAGTACTGCAGGCACTGCCAGTACTGCGGGCACTGCCAGTACTGCAGGCACTGCCAGTACTAGCGGGCACTGCCAGTACTGCAGGCACTGCCAGTACTGCGGGCACTGCCAGTACTGCAGGCACTGCCAGTACTGCGGGCACTGCCAGTACTGCAGGCACTGCCAGTACTGCGGGCACTGCCAGTACTGCAGGCACTGCCAGTACTGCAGGCACTGCCAGTACTGCGGGCACTGCCAGTACTGCGGGCACTGCCAGTACTGCGGGCACTGCCAGTACTGCGGACACTGCCAGTAACGCGGGCACTGCCAGTAAATGCGGGCACTGCCAGTACTGCAGGCACTGCCAGTACTTGTGGGCACTGCCAGTACTGCAGGCACTGCCAGTACTGCAGGCACTGCCAGAACTGCAGGCAACTGCCATTACTGCGGGCACTGCCAGTACTGCGGCACTGCCAGTACTGCGGGCACTGCCAGTACTGCGGACACTGCCAGTACTGCGGACGCTGCCAGTACTGCGGGCACTGCTACAGAACTCTCTAACATCCACATAAAGAAGAAATCTGAATTATATACATACATAGGTAAGAACTTCAATTGAAATGAACAGGTTCAAACATGTATTATAGGCCTAAGTTCTCAGCATGCCATAGGCTTCAACTCTGCTCACAGCAAAACAATTAAGGGAACACCACATTAAGACAAGGTTAACATCATAAGTACAGACAAATTAAAATATTTCCATGTACTTTGCTCCTTTTAAAAATAACAATAATCATTAACATCCATGGATACGTTGCTAAGTCCGGATAAATAGTGTCAATAAAACCCTAAATGTACATACAGTTTAGTAATGTAGATTAAAAAAAACACCTTGATAAAATGTCCCCTTCAACACATTAGTACGTACACAAATAATCCGCACATACGACAAAGAAATTTATGATGATGTTTGAGTCCACCTTGGACCATTAACTAGTTGGACTGAAATGCTGTCCTAAGTTTCTTTCTCCTGTGTGTGGGTTATTTATGTATTGTTCCAATCACAGTGTTGTGACTTCATTTTTTACACTGATATGTCCTCAAGGTACCAGATTTACACTGGCATAACAGTCCCCACACACTCTTAAGTGTCCTCACAGAGTACAAGGCTTACAGTGGTAATACTGTTCCTCTCCTCCTCACACAAACTGATGTTTCCCCCATGAGAAAAGACCTCGGTCCATTAAATTTGCAATTGTTTTGGGATAACATCTTGGTTTTGCATACAAGGAAAAACATTATTAATGCACTCTTTCAGCAAGTTTCTAAGCCATCTTCAGCTAATCATTGTATTGATCACAGAAGCATGACCGAATACCTGCCGATGGTCTTTTGGGATGCTATGACTAGTATAAGCGTGGGTTAAATGTCACATTTCCAGCACGAGTTCCTCTTAATATCTGTCAACTCTTGGATCACCTGCTACCTGCTTGCTTTAGGTCATAACCTCACCCTCTGTGTATCCTTCTGGAAACAGAGGGACAAAAGGGGCAAGAGTTGCTCTTACCCTGCACCAGACTGAGTTTCTCTGTGCATGTCTCAGTGGTTATTTTAAGCAGAAATTCTCTCACTGCCACAAAGAGTAAATCACCTTTGTAATACATTGAGAATTTTAGATTTTACAAATGCCTCTGACTGGCACCTACCATAGACACCTCACTGGAAGGCAAAGATGAGGATGATGAAGGGAACAAGGAGGATAAACACCATATAAACTGGTACACGTGGCTGGCAGGTGGTGGTCACCTCATAGGAGTGAAGCTCAAGCAAGTTCTCTTCTGCTGGAACTTCCACAACCACTGCTTCAGTCTGCGTGAAAGCTAGAGAAAACACGCACTCGGTGGAATTACGACAGGTTTCCAGGGGAGAGCTGACATCGTAGATTGCTCGCTCCAGCTCTAAATTGAACCCCAAGTGGTTGAGCTCAATAGAGTTGTCAGATGTAAATATGAAGTAGTAATAGTCAGAAGTATTGACATTAAACCTCCAAAAATCATGATTGGTTGTATTCATATTAGAAATACGCATTTCCCAGTCAATGTAGGGAGAGAGATCCACAGTGAGGATAGCATCACGGCACTGCTGTAGGAACTCTTCACTGCTAGAAAATGATGAGTTTCCAGTCACTACATCCAGTGTGTCATTAAACTTGTGTAAGTATTCCATGTTGTTAGTGGATGGTTTCTGGGGAGAACTGTTGAGCTTTGTGAAGTCGGGCACTAGAGGAGAGCTGCGACGAGCTCGTTCACGACCCTGAGACCTGGTAGAGGTGCCAGGGTCACTACCCATCTTACTTTGGTCCTTTCCTTTCCTGGTCTTCTTTTTATTTTTTTTCATTTTATTCACACCATCTATTTGGTCAAGGATATCATATTTATGATGCTTGATTTTACCATCGTTGGAAGCAACTGTTGTAACATCACCTTCACTGCCATCTTCTTGAAGGTGACCCATATCTTTCACTTCATGTTTCATTTCATCATCATCAAATACCTCACCTCCAACATCGTCGTCCCAGTGACGTTGTTCCGACATAACTGCCAGGTCCCCTCCTCCACATCAGGTGGACTCTTGTAGACATTCTTCAGAGGTTCGGTGCCACCGTTCAGCTCATTCTGTACCCGATCCTCCCGGTAGAAACATTTACGGAGGTTGTCTTCTCCCTGAACGACAAGCAATACACCGCCAGGCCATCTGAAACAAAACTCTCATTAATTAACTTGTCTTTACAAAGATACAGCAGTATGTAACTCTCAGTTAACTTGTTTTAACAAAGACACAACAGTGTATAACATATTATCATGTAAAGAACAAGTCACAGTACCGTAGCTGGAACAATTAAAAAATAATCCACACTGAGGAAACTTATGGCGAGTGTCTTTCAAAATCTGGATTATTTCTGTATTATTCACAACACAACACAGAGGAAATTTAAGATAATAACAATTTGCTTCATTTTCATCATGATCAAACAAAGAGAGAGAGAGAGAAAAGTAGCAGAGCCAGAAGTTAGAGAGAGAGAGAGATACGACTCAAGCTGTCTCCTATATTTCCACCTAGCTTTGTTTTTTTCCTCGCCTGTGACTTGATAATGGTCCATGATGGATTGAAACCTTTAGTTTCCTCTCCAAATTATTATTATTTTTTATTTATTATCACACTGGCCGATTCCCACCAAGGCAGGGTGGCCCGAAAAAGAAAAACTTTCACCATCATTCACTCCATCACTGTCTTGCCAGAAGGGTGCTTTACACTACAGTTTTTAAACTGCAACATTAACACCCCTCCTTCAGAGTGCAGGCACTGTACTTCCCATCTCCAGGACTCAAGTCCGGCCTGCCGGTTTCCCTGAACCCCTTCATAAATGTTACTTTGCTCACACTCCAACAGCACGTCAAGTATTAAAACCATTTGTCTCCATTCACTCCTATCAAACACGCTCACGCAAATTGTGGGTTAATTACTAACTAAGATTTTAATTAAAAAATAACATGTAGCAATATTACTGACTTGAGCAACAGTATAAAGCAAATACTGTATAAAGTAAAGCAGGTACTGTATAAAGTGAAACAGGCACTGTATAAAGTGAAGCAAGTACTGTATAAAGTGAAGCAAGTACTGTATAAAGTGAAGCAGGTACTGTATAAAGTGAAGCAAGTACTGTATAAAGTGAAGCAAGTACTGTATAAAGTGAAGCAGGTACTGTATAAAGTGAAGCAGGTACTGTATAAAGTGAAGCAGGTACTGTATAAAGTGAAGCAGGTACTGTATAAAGTGAAGCAGGTACTGTATAAAGTGAAGCAAGTACTGTATAAAGTGAAGCAGGTACTGTATAAAGTGAAGCAGGTACTGTATAAAGTGAAGCAGGTACTGTATAAAGTGAAGCAAGTACTGTATAAAGTGAAGCAAGTACTGTATAAAGTGAAGCAGGTACTGTATAAAGTGAAGCAAGTACTGTATAAAGTGAAGCAGGTACTGTATAAAGTGAAGCAGGTACTGTATAAAGTGAAGCAAAGATCACGTGGAACATAACACAAGTAACACCTGGGAGAACAAGTACAGCATTCAACAGGTTCAACCGGTTCACAAATAACCTGCACATAAGAGAATGAAATGTATGATGGTGTTTCAGTCCAACTTGTACCATTAACCAGTCACTGTTAATGGTTTAAGTTGGACTGAAACATCAGCATAAGTTTCTCCCATGTGCAGGTTATTTGTATATTGTTCAAGCTTATATTAACATTGATGATTAAAGGTACAGCCATATTAGAGGAAAATGTACGAACATGGGAAACGCAATTATGGGAAGAGTCTACAAGTATGTAGTAGGTAACAAGAGATTTTGCTTAGCGGTGTGTGTCTTAGCTGAGGGTATCAAAGCTACTGCAGTGTGTCTTAGCTGAGTATATCAAAGCTACTGCAGTGTGTCTTAGCTGAGTATATCAAAGCTACTGCAGTGTGTCTTAGCTGAGGGCATCAAAGCTACTGTTAAAAAGCACTTCCTTATCTTAATGTGACACAGAGAATAATTTATTATACAAATCCTGAAACGGTGTCTTTCATCCAGTATTGTCCCTATTATTCTTCCAACTTTCCTCCAACTATTTTACAGCCAGGTCTCAATTAGTGCGAATAATAAATCCTGTGAGTGGTTGCATCGTTTGAATTTGCACTATTCAAATTGTAAGCTTTGCACATGATTTGAAGAGTTTGGGGGAACTAGCATTAATTAATTTTGCACTAAATCAAAATTTGCAGTATTCAACCTCACACTAATCGAGACCAAGTGTACGCATACTAAAGTACACACATATGTAGTGTGTGTGTACTAAGTACACACATATGTAGTGTGTGTGTACTAGGTACACATATATGTAGTGTGTGTTACTAGGTACACATATAGTATATGTGTACTTAGGCACCACGAGTACACTGAGACAACACAATAAGTGTCCGGGGCCCAAGACTGTTCAACTGCCTTCCAGCATATGTCAGGGGAATTACCAATAGACTCCTGGCTGTCTTCAGGAAGGCACTGGACAGGCACTGGTCAGTACCTGATCAACTGGGCTGTGGTTTGTACATTAGCTTGTGTGTGGCCAGCAGTAACAGCCTGGTTGATCAGAACCTGATCCACCATGAGGCCTGGTCTCAGACTGGGCCGTGAGGGTGTTTACTCCTGAAACCCTCTCAAGGTAAACTCCAGGTAAACTATCTACTCGTATTTTGTGTGAATTCAGATAGTATGACCCTTGAGGGTTTAGCACTTACTTAGTTATGATTATAATAACAATCAGATAGCTCTGTTCTTATTGTAATTTGTATTAAAATTATTATTTTGAATTAATGAATACTTTTATTTATACATACATAGAAGACTATAACATGTATAGAATTAATAGGTCACAGGGAGGAGTAGGAATCTATGTAAAGGATATTTTCTGTTGCACAGAAGTGCTGGCCTCGGTGAATGATATAGTAAAAATCCTCGGCATTAAAGTGAAAATAGGAATTTGGTAATCATCCTAGTACAGTGGACCCCCACATAACAATCACCTCCGAATGCGACCAATTATGTAAGTGTATTTATGTAAGTGCGTTTGCACGTGTATGTTTGAGGGTCTGAAATGGACTAATCTACTTCACAATATTCCTTATGGGAACAAATTCGGTCAGTACTGGCACCTGAACATACTTCTGGAGTGAAAAAATATCGTTAACCGGGGGTCCACTGTATACAAACCACCATCAGCAACTGCTGAGGAATTCACAGATCAGCTAATGAGGATAGATAGCTATGTGGATAGGCTAGAAAATCCCACACCAAATATTTTACTCCTTGGAGATTTTAATCTCCCTTATGTAAAATGGAACATGGCACAACACAACGTTATACCAGAAATATCTCCGGGAAGCACCCTGGCTCAACAGGCACGTACCAGGGAACTAATGAGGCTTTGTGAAAAGTACTCATTAAACCAACAGATAACTGATCCCACTAGATATGAAAATACTCTGGATTTGATATTCAAAAACAACAAGGAACTAATCAGAGACATAACAGTTACAAAGACAATATACTCTAATCACATTATAGAAATTCAAACGAGTATTAACTCAGGGTTAGGAAACTGCATCACTAATGTTAAGAGACGGGATGTTCAGTAAGTTTAATTTTAACAACCATAGAATTGATTGGAAAAAAATAAACCAAGAGCTATCAGACATATCCTGGGAAGCAGACATGAACACCCTAAATCCCCACCAGTGCCTAGAGAAGCTGAATAGAGAAGCATACAAGGTATGTATGAAGCATGAACCATTGAGGAAACCCAGAAGGAGATCAGATATAGAAAGAGCATAGGAGATGGTACAGAAGAAGAAAATGGGTTACTGAAATGCTTAAAAACACAAATATGCTTCAGCAGAGGAAAGATAGGCTTAGACAAGAGATCAGTGAACCAGAGCAAAAACTTAGGATGTCATACCTAGCAGAGGAAGTACAAAGGGAACAGAGGGCCATGCAGGACATCGTAAGAAACCCAAAATATTTCTATTCCTATGCAAAATCCAAGCTAAGAACTACTTGTAGAATTGGACCACTACTGAGAGGAGATTTGTATACTGACAATGAACAGGAGACGAGTGAAATCCTAAAAGAACAGTATGAGTCGGTGTTCTGCAACCCACTAACTGACAGCAAGGTAGAAAATGCTGAATTATTTTTCACTCCAGAAGAAGGCCGCGCAGATCAACTAACTGACATTAGTGCAAATCCCGTAGATTTTGAAAAAGAAATGATCAACATGCCCACTCACTCAGCACCTGGACCAGATTCATGGAATGCTGTGTTTATAAAGTGTGAAGTACCATTAGTATGAGCACTCAGCATTCTTTGGAGGAAGAGCTTAGATCTAGGTGAAATACTGGAGGCCTTAAAGAGTGCAGACATAGCTCCTTTGCATAAGGGAGGTAGTAGAGCATTAGCTAAAATTTACAGACAAGTAGCCCTAACTTCTCACATCATAAAACTCTTCAAAAGAGTGATGAGATGGCAGATGACAAATTTCATGGACCAGCACAACCAGCATAACCTGAACCAGCATGGTTTTTGAGCAGGACGATCATGCCTGTCACAGCTGCTGAACCATTATGACAGAATTACGGAGGCATTGGAAGATGACCAAAACGCAGATGTGATTTACACAGATTTTGCGAAGGCGTTTGACAAATGCAATTATGGAGTGATAGTGCACAAAATGAGGTTCATGGGCATTATGGGGAAGGTAGGCAGATGGATTTTCAGGTTCCTAACACACAGAACACAAAAAGTTGTAGTAAACAGGGCAAGATCCAGCATCAGCGAGGTCAAAAGCTCAGTGCCCCAAGGCACTGTCCTGGCACCTCTGCTGTTTTTTATCCTCATAGCAGATATAGATAAAAACACCCGGCACACTTTTCTATCATCATTTGCAGAATACACTAAAACAAACATGAACGTCACTACGGTAGAGGAGACTGAAAAAGTACAGGAAGACATAAGCAGGGTTTACCAGTGGGCAGTGGAGAACATGACATTACATTCAATGGTGATAAGTTCCAGCTGCTTGGGTATGGAAAGAATGAAGAACTCAAAAGGAACACTATATACAAAACTCAAGTGGGTCACCAAATAGAATGTAAGGAACACGTAAAAGACCTGGGAATAATTATGTCAGCTGACCTTTCTTTTAAAGACCATAACAAGATAACAAGAAGAGAGTAAGGTGATGAGGGTATCAAATGATTTAGATAAAGAAAAATTGGATATCAAATTGGGGAGGAGTATGGAAGAAGTGAATGTTTTCAGATATTTGGGAGTTGACGTGTCGGCGGATGGATTTATGAAGGATGAGGTTAATCATAGAATTGATGAAGAAAAAAAGGCGAGTGGTGCGTTGAGGTATATGTGGAGGCAAAAAAAATGTTATCTATGGAGGCAAAGAAGGAAATGTATGAAAGTATAGTAGTACCAACACTCTTATATGGGTGTGAAGCTTGGGTTGTAAATGCTGCAGCGAGGAGAGGTTGGAGGCAGTGGAGATGTCCTGTCTAAGGGCAATGTGTGGTATAAATTTTATGCAGAAAATTCAGAGTGTGGAAATTAGGAGAAGGTGTGGAGTTAATAAAAATATTAGTCAGAGGGCTGAAGAGGGGTTGTTGAGGTGGTTTGGTCATTTAGAGAGAATGGATCAAAGTAGAATGACATGGAGAGTGTTTAAATCTGTAGGGAAAGGAAGGCGGGGTAGGGGTCATCCTCAAAAAAGTTGGAGGGAGGTGGTAAAGTAGGTTTTGTGGGCGAGGGGCTTGGACTTCCAGCAAGCGTGCATGAGCGTGTTAGATAGGAGTGAATGGAGACGAATGCTATTTGGGACCTGACGAGCTGTTGGAGTGTGAGCAGGGTAATACTTAGTGAAGGGATTCAGGGAAACTGGTTATTTTATATAGCCAGACTTGAGTCCTGGAAATGGGAAGTACAATGCCTGCACTTAAAGGAGGGGTTTCAAGATATTAGCAGTTTGGAGGGATATGTTGTGTATCTTTATACGCATATACTTCTAAGCTGTTGTATTCTGAGCACCTCTGAAAAAACAGCGATTATGTGTGAGTGAGGTGAAAGTGTTGAATGATGATGAAAGTATTTTCTTTTTGGGGATTTTTTCTTTCTTTTTGGGTCACCCTGCCTCGGTGGGAGACGGCCGACTTGTTGAAAAAAAAATAATAAAAAATGAAGGTCGCACCAGCCAGGAAGATGATGGGGTAGGTACTGAGAGCTTTCAAAACAAGGGAAATAATGCCGATGGTGACACTCTTCAAATTGCTAGTGCTCCCTCACTTAGAATATTGCTCAGTGTTGACGGCCCTGTTCAAAGCAGAAGAAATATCGGAGCTGGAACAAATACAGAGATTGTTTTTGGCTTATAGTGAGCCAGTTAATGGTCCAAGTCAGACCATTAACTAGTCACACTGAGTGACTAGTTAACAGTCCAAGTCGGACCATTAACTAGTTACACTGTGTGATTAGTTAACAGTCCAAGTCGGACTATTAACTAGTCACACTGAGTGACTAGTTAATAGTCCAAGTTGGACCAAAATGTTGTAAGTTTTAGCTATGGTATTGTGCCTTTTTATTTTTAATATCTCATCACATTTTGTAACAATTTAAGTAACTAGTTTCACCCTTTTAATTTTTTTCTTTAGAATTTTTACTTTGATATAATTAAAAATGCCGGGAGCAAGGGGCTAGTAACCCCTTCTCCTCTATATATTACTAAATGTAAAAGGAGAAACTTTCATTTTTGCTTTTGGGCCGCCCCGCCTCGGTGGGATACGGCCGGTGTGTTGAAAGAAAGATAATTGAAATCTAAATACAGTGGACCCTCATCTAACGATATTAATTGGTACCCGAGAACGAATATTGTTAGGCAAGTTTTTTTAGTGTTAGCCGAGGCAAAATGTTAGTGTTAAAATGTATCGTTAGGCAAATTTAACGTTATGCGATGCGTTTGTTAGGTGAGGGTCCACTGTATAGTATAATCTAAGTGTTTGTTTTCCCATGTACTTTGATTTTATCTGATTCATATTCATCAAATCTTTCTTATTATGAATATCATTAATGTCTTGTATACTTTATATAAAGTTAACGTACTTAAGTCCTTCTAGATGCAAGTCAGGTTTAAGTTTGCCAGAAATACTCTGGCAGTCAATCAAATTTATTTCCACATGATACATTGTTTGAGGATAACAAAAAGATTAGGTGATGAAAGATTGAATATCAGATTGGAGGGAGAGAGTATGGAGGAGGTGAACGTATTCAGATATTTGGGAGTGGACGTGTCAGCGGATGGGTCTATGAAAGATGAGGTGAATCATAGAATTGATGAGGGAAAAAGAGTGAGTGGTGCACTTAGGAGTCTGTGGAGACAAAGAACTTTGTCCTTGGAGGCAAAGAGGGGAATGTATGAGAGTATAGTTTTACCAACGCTCTTATATGGGTGTGAAGCGTGGGTGATGAATGTTTGCAGCGAGGAGAAGGCTGGAGGCAGTGGAGATGTCATGTCTGAGGGCAATGTGTGGTGTGAATATAATGCAGAGAATTCGTAGTTTGGAAGTTAGGAGGAGGTGCGGGATTACCAAAACTGTTGTCCAGAGGGCTGAGGAAGGGTTGTTGAGGTGGTTCGGACATGTAGAGAGAATGGAGCGAAACAGAATGACTTCAAGAGTGTATCAGTTTGTAGTGGAAGGAAGGCGGGTAGGGGTCGGCCTAGGAAGGGTTGGAGGAGGGGGTAAAAGGAGGTTTTGTGTGCGAGGGGCTTGGACTTCCAGCAGGCATGCGTGAGCGTGTTTGATAGGAGTGAATGGAGACAAATGGTTTTTTAATACTTGACGTGCTGTTGGAGTGTGAGCAAAGTAACATTTATGAAGGGATTCAGGGAAACCGGCAGGCCGGACTTGAGTCCTGGAGATGGGAAGTACAGTGCCTGCACTCTGAAGGAGGGGTGTTAATGTTGCAGTTTAAAAACTGTAGTGTAAAGCACCCTTCTGGCAAGACAGTGATGGAGTGAATGATGGTGAAAGTTTTTCTTTTTCGGGCCACCCTGCCTTGGTGGGAATCGGCCGGTGTGATAATAAAAAAAAAAAAAAAAAACATTGTTTGTACAAAATTTGAGGTTTACTATTTCCCACCTGCCGCTGCTAAACAACCTTCCCACACAAGACTCCATCATAGTGCCCCGCGTGGCCTCATCTCTAAAGCTCTCGCTTCACACAGCGAGGGTCTGTGTTCACTTCCCAGCACGGGTAGAAACTGGGCATGATTCTTTACACCGGTTTTCTATGTTCACCCATCAGTAAAATGGGTACCTAGGAGTTAGTCAACTGGTGTGGGTCGCATCCTGGGACAAGGACCTAATTTTCCCAAAATGCTCTGCATAACAAGCAGCTTTCTATATAGTAGTATGTCACTGATATCAGTTAGGTCTGTATATGTACTTGTAGAAATAAAGATTATTATTAAGAGTGACAGCCATAAGACAATAAGTGGCACCAGAGAGCACTGTAAGCTTAATGGCTCACCCTCTGGACACATGCTATCAACTCCACTTACATTATTCCACTTTAACCTATTTACCTGACCTCCTGTGATATATATACCACTTGTTCTATCTACTCTGTATCAGCACCCAAGTCCTGCCTGGTCAAGTGTGTCAATGTATGAATCAATACCTATCTATACCCACAACATACATTAAAACTGTTTTGGATTTTTCAAGATTTAATAAATTGAATAAGATTCACGGGCAACACTTGGGTATTATTACTGAAATATTTTGCCTGTGCAGCAGGCTTCTTCTGTCAAATAAAAATACCCAAGTGTTGCACTTGGGTATCTTTGTTGATGAATAAAACAAGTGTTACACATGTGTTTTATTCATCAATAAACATACCTAAGTGTTGCACAGGAGTCTTATCCATCAACAAAGGTACCATGTGTAGACTCCGAGGATCACAGGTAGACTGAAGACCACCAACCCCTAACATTCTACCTAAGTTAGTACCTCACCTGGCCGAAGAAGATAGAGCGAAGGTAGATCCCTGGAGCAGGTAGACTCCCCAGTACTCTATATCATCATGTTGCAGAGTTAGAGTCCTCTTGAGGGTGACATGGCGGCGGTGTTGCTGTTGCACCTGCGGTAGACCTGACACCAAGAAGGCATCCAAGGTACCGTTGCTTGTCACACGCTGACCCTGTAATATGCAACACTACCTTACTGCACTGCAACATTACCTCGACAAACACATCGCACCATTGTGGGGCCAGCAGCTGTGAATCAACCCTTGCAACCACAAATAGGTGACTACTACAATACTTATGTAAATTATATTAGTACAGTGGACCCTCGACTAACGATATTATTTCATTTCAGACGTCTGTTCGGGTGCCGTTACCGACCGAATTTGTTCCCATAAGGAATATTGTGAAATAGATTAGTCCGTTTCAGACCCCCAAAAATTCACGTACGAAAGCACTTACAAAAATACACTTACATAACTGGTCGAGTTGGGAGCTGATCGTTAGTCGAGGGTCCACTTGTGTCTTATTAATTAATTAATGCTTGGAGTAATAAATTATAATACAGTACATAGCTATATCATTTATAGTATAACTGTATTAAAACAACAGTAAACTCCTATGGGCCATACAGTGCTATAATAAATATATATTTATACACTATTATATATTATGTATTATTATAATTATTAAGAAAGATGGTAGACCCCCAGCTGAGTCCTGGATCAGGCTTGTTATAACCACAGTTGCTCCTCTCTCTACGATAGTTTGACTTGATATTTCAACTTTACGATGGTGCAATAAAACTGTAACTACTACTACTACCTCCACCACTACCTCTCTTGCTCCCGTCATTGTCTGCTGGCCCATATATACTCCCTCCTTCTCTCCTTCCTGTTAGTTTGACTTTGTAAATGGTCCAAGTCGAACCAAAACGTCATCGTAAGCTCCTCTCTTCTATGTGCGAGTTATTTGTGTATTGTTCCAGTCACGGTATTGTGCCTTTTTTTTTTATCTGTAAAACTTTTTTTTGTACTGTACATTTATTGATAGGATAAACTTGTATTCATTTATTTACTTTTCAATACTGGTATTTAGTTACAGTAATTATTTGTTCATTTACTTATTCAGTGGCAGTAATTATTTATTTACTTGCAGCATTTTCTGGCATAAAGGTGCTCTATTTTCCCCACAAAAAGTCTTAGAAACTCAGCCTGTCTTATATGCTCAAGGTCAGGGTCAAGGGTAGGCTTTGTGTTACACTTCAGCAGTCGTTTACTAACATCATGTTGCAGCTATTTGGAAACAACATCTTATATACTCGTGCACCTTATATGCCAGAAAATACGTTATTTATTCATATACAGCCTCTCCTCACTTAGCGACGTACTCGTTTACCGACGACTCGGGCTTATGATGGGCTCTGTGACCAGTATGAATACCTAAATAATGTATACATGTATTAGAGCTGATTTCTTCTATTCTGGTCATTACAATATAGAGTACACTACTGTATAAACATTTAAAAATAGTATACTAAAAATACTATAAATGGTACAAAGGTGACATTAAAACAATATCAAAGATGGTTGACACAAACCCACTACCATTATAATATACTCCTTGCTTAGTGACAAATTTGTTTACTGACGTGGTCTTAGGAATGGAACTATGTCGTTAAGTGAGGAGAAGCTGTATTCACATTCAACTTACAATATTTTTGACTTACGATGGGGTCACTGGAATGTAACCGTATCATAAATCAAGGAGCACCTACAATAACTGAAAACATATGCCAAACCAGGAAGGCATGACAACATGACTGACAACATACTTGACACCAGAAGGAGTTGACAGCGTGGTTGAGAGCCCTGGTGTCAGTCTCTGTCATGTGCATATGTCTGGTGTGGTAGAGGTGATATCTGGCATACAGTGGTAGGGAGATGAGCAGTGTAGGTAAGACAAACACTACCAAGAAGAATGATATCACTCTCCATGCTGAAGTCATCTGTGGAAATAACATCTCAGGTTAGACGTCTGTTGAAATATATTGTAATACAGTGGACCCCCGGTTAACGATTTTAATCCGTGCAAGAGGGCTCATCGTTATGCGAAATAATCGTTATGCGAATTAATTTTCCCCATAAGAAATAATGGAAATAAAATTAATCCGTGCAAGACGCCCAAAAGTATGAAAAAAAATTTTTTTTACCACATGAAATGTTAATTTTAATACACACAAACTGAAAAAGGCATGCACAATTACATGACACTTACTTTTATTGAAGATCTGGTGATGATTGATGGGATGGGAGGAGGGGAGAGCATTATCTTCTTACTGTTTAGAAGGGGAATCCCCTTCCATTAGGACTTGAGGTAGCAAGTCCTTTTCTGGGGTTACTTCCCTTCTTCTTTTAATGCCACTAGGACCAGCTTCAGAGTCACTGGACCTCTGTCGCACAACAAATCTGTCCATAGAGCTCTGTACCTCCCGTTTCTTCAAGACTTTCCTAAAATGGGCCATAACATTGTCATTGAAATAGTCACAAGCACGGCTTGCAACAGCTGTGTCAGGGTGATTTTCATCTATAAAGGTTTGCAGTTCAAACCACTCTGCACACATTTCCTTAATCTTTGAAGTAGGCACAATGGATTCCACAACTGGCATAGGCTTCTCAGGGTTAGCCCCAAACCCTTCAAAATCTTTCTTAATTTCCATACTAATTCTCACCCTTTTTACCACAGGGTTGGCACTAGAAGCTTTCTTGGGGCCCATGGTCACTTATTTTCCAGAAACACCACCGAAAACACTGTAATAATACGAAATATTCCGAGTGTATGCTTGGATGTTACCGCGGAGGCTGGCTGGTAAACAATGGGACGGCCGGCACATGTGAGGGCACATTGGACGCGTCTCGGACGAAAATCGGTATGCGGGTTTTTAATCGGTATGCGGGGCAAAAATTTTGCGATAAAAGTAATCGTTATGCGGAAAAATCGCTATGCGATGCCATCGTTATGCGGGGGTCCACTGTATATCTGTTGATACAGTATCTGTTAGATATCTATTGAATCATATCATATAGTAATGTATCTGTTAATACAATATATTAGATATCTGTTGAATAACATACAGTAATATATCTGTTAAAACATATGGTAATATATATGTTGATACAACAACTTGGTTACATATCCGTGAGGTCACCAGCAGTCTCGGGTCAAGAGATGTAGTACAACAGTTTTAAATATTTTATTGTATCAAAACATACATAAGAATGGAAGAGCACTGAAGTAGGCCTACTGGCCCATACAAGGCAGGTCCTTCTCAAAACCAACCATTCCCACCCACCTATGTGTCCAACCTGTTCTCAAAGCCGCCCAAGAATTTGCTTCAATATGCCAGGTACTATTTTAATGACAAATATTGAAATCCTCCCCAGAATGGGAAAATGGTTGACAAATCTTTACAGAATGACTAAGACTTCGTCATCAGGCCCCAAAAAAGTTAAAACAAAAATGAAAATAATTTAAAAATTTAAGTTTTATAGTTTGAAAGCGTATCCAGATGCTATAAAACTGATACCCCTCAAGGAACGTTCCTTGATGTTGGTCAGGGGCTCTTGATTTAGGGAATTGGATCTGTGCTCCAGTTCCCCGAATTAAGCCTGAATGCCTTCCACATCCCCCCCCCCCCCCAGGCGCTGTATAATCCTCCGGGTTTAGCGCTTCCCCTTGATTATAATAATAATAATAATATAAAACTGATATAAAGCTGGAAGGTGTATTTTAAGAGTAATGTTTATTACTGAACACAAAGGCAAATACAGTTAAGTGTGTAGTGAATGTAAGTAGATGTTTGTAAGATTTACCTGTCAGCTTACATGTTGACGAGACAGAAAAATCAACAATCCTGCCAGAGTGCAAAACATTTAAGAGGTTTCTAACACTTTGTATGACAGGAGGATAGTACCACGTCAGGAGGACAGTACCACGTCAGGAGGACAGTACCACGTCAGGAGGACAGTACCACGTCAGGAGGACAGTACCACGTCAGGAGGACAGTACCACGTCAGGAGGACAGTACCACGTCAGGAGGACAGTGCCACGTCAGGAGGACAGTGCCACGTCAGGAGGACAGTGCCACGTCAGGAGGACAGTCCACATCAGGAGGACAGTAGCCACGTCAGGAGGACAGTAGCCACGTCAGGAGGACAGTACCACGTCAGGAGGAATGACGTTAGTGTCTGCCTCAATACAGTGCACTAGAAACACGTTAGAGACATGCATGCTAGTGCTCTCTTGACCTAAGACAATATTAAAATAGTCAGAACTACATTAAACGTACACGTCAGAAACAGTACACGTTAGAGAGTACACTAACATACCATCAGAGATAATAATTCAAGGACGTCAGTCAGGAGGACAGTACCACTCAGCCAACCTTAAGTACAGTACCACGTTTAGGAACAGTCACTTGGAGGCGTACCATTCAGAGACAGTAACTCAGGAGGCCAGTACCATAGGAGGATGTTGTGTCTGCCTCATACAGGATGTTGCTAGAACACTGTTACTATGTAGTGTCCTTTCTATGTACCAACAATATTACATGTAAACACATTACCTGTATACTACGAAAAGAAGTTATTATACTACTACATTATTATTGATAATATGCAATTGGGTGTGGCTGGAACAATTCACCACCAACCTTACTATGTACAGTGGACCCCCGGTTAACGATATTTTTTCATTCCAGAAGTATGTTCAGGTGCCAGTACTGACCGAATTTGTTCCCATAAGGAATATTGTGAAGTAGATTAGTCCATTTCAGACCCCCATAACATACACATACAAACGCACTTACAAAAATACACTTACATAATTGGTTGCATTGGGAGGTGATCGTTAAGCGGGGGTCCACTGTACTACTATTATTACTACTACTGCTACTACTACTCTCCAAACTTGTCTTCTGGTTTTCTCTGCTATTTCTCACTCGACTGTGGCCCGGTGGCCTGGTGGCTAAAGCTCCCGCTTCACACACGGAGGGCCCGGGTTCGATTCCCGGCGGGTGGAAACATTTCGACATGTTTCCTTACACCTGTTGTCCTGTTCACCTAGCAGCAAATAGGTACCTGGGTGTTAGTCGACTGGTGTGGGTCGCATCCTGGGGGACAAGATTGAGGACCACAATGGAAATAAGTTAGACAGTCCTCGATGACGCACTGACTTTCTTGGGTTATCCTGGGTGGCTAACCCTCCAGGGTTAAAAATCCGAACGAAATCTTATCTTATCTTGACTGTGACTTGACAATGGTCCGTTAAGGACCAATACATATCTAATTGTCTTCAAGCGCAGATTATCTGTGAATGTTTTGCATACAAAAATACAATATTTGTATCGTATCACCTTCAGGAATGTGATTATATACACTATATACATTGATATATTAAGTTTTGATGTATGTATTGTTGGAATCTGTACAGAAAGACAGAAAAAATTAATCTGTACATGAAATGTGATCCTTGGGAGACTTGTTACATAAATAAACTAGTTAGAAGACAAGTGAATCAGTGTTAGAAACATGACACTGAGTGGAGGGTAATACCTGAGTGACTGGTTCTGAGTGACTGGGTCCTGTCGTGACTGGTCCTGAGTGACTTGGTCCTGAGTGACATCTGGTCTGAGTGACTGGTCTGAGTGACTGGTCTGAGTGATTGATCCTGAGTGATTGATCCTGAGTGATTGATCCTGAGTGACTGATCCTGAGTGATTGATCCTGAGTGACTGGTTTGAGTGACTGATCCTGAGTGATTGATCCTGAGTGATTGATCATGAGTGACTGGTCCTAAGTGACTGGTTTGAGTGACTTATCCTGAGTGACTGATCCTGAGTGACTGATCCTGAGTGACTGGTTTGAGTGACTTATCCTGAGTGACTTATCCTGAGTGACTGATCCTGAGTTACTGATCCTGAGTGATTGATCCTGAGTGACTGGTCCTAAGTGACTGGTTTGAGTGACTGGTCTGAGTGACTGACCCTGAATGACTGGTCTGAGTGACTGATCCTGAGTGACTGATCCTGAGTGACTGATCCTGAGTGACTGATCCTGAGTGACTGATCCTGAGTGGACTGATCAGAGTGGACTGTAATAAATACCATTTCTTTGATGCTTCTGAGTTTTTCTACTTCCGGAGCCCAGCCATAGGCCAGGCTTGTCTGGTGCTTGCTTAGTCAACCAGGTTGTTGCTGCTGGCTGCCCACTGGTCCTGGGCCAGGTTTGTCTGGTGCTTGGTCAACTTGAATGACTGATTTGTGACACTAAAAGCCACTTCCCTCACACCTGCCTTCACACACTCCCTCACACCTGCCTTCACACACTCCCTCACCACCTGCTTCACACCACTCCCTCGCACCTGCCTTCACACACTCCCTCACACCTGCCTTCACACACTCCCTCACACCTGCCTTCACACACTCCCTCACACCTGCCTTCACACACTCCCTCACACCTGCCTTCACACTCCCCCTCACCTGCCTTCACCAAAATCCCTCACACCCTGCCTTCACACCCACTCCCTCACACCTGCCTTCCACACACTCCTCACACCTGCCATCACACTCTCCCTCACACCTGCCTTCACACATCCCTCACACTGCCTTCACACACTCCCTCCACCCCTGCCTTCACACACTCCTCACACCTGCCTTCACCACTCTCCACTCACCTGCCTTCAACTCTCCACACACCTGCCTTCTCACACTCCCTCACACCTGCCTTCACACTATCCTCACACCTGCCTTCACACTCTCCCTCACACCTGCCTTCACCACTCTCCCTCACACCTGCTTCACACACTCCTCACACCTGCCTTCCACACTCCCTCACACCTGCCTTCACTCACTCCCTACACTCTGCCTCCACACTCCCCTCACTGCCTTCACACACTCCCTAACCTGCCTTCACACCTCTCCCTCACACCTGCCTTCACACATCCTCACAC